ACATTTATTCATAGATGATGCAATTAAATAAAACCGGCATTAACTTCAAGGTCAGTCAGTAAAGTAATAAAATTGAATATTTTAATTGAATTGTAATTGCTTCCCATTGATACATGCAAGTAAAATAAAATAGATGTCAGCTCTGCAAATTATGGTTCTTCCTCCTAATTAATTTCTTAATTCTGCATGGAGTTATTCAGTGCCTAGGTCTTGTTGTGGGTTTATTCATTCACCCAGCTTCTATCAGGGAATGTCCATAAGACATGATTAAATGGTTAGGTGTCAGGATTTATAGTAATTTTTCTGCATGTTGGAGAAAGTTTTGAAATTTATGTATTTGAGTTGTTATGTATTCTCATTATAACATCATCCTAGGTCCTCTGGGGTGTAATAAGAATCATCTTTATCATCATATATCTCTCTTGATGTTGATATTTATATCAGCATTAATAAATGTAACTCACAATAAGTATGAATTTTTTTGTTTCATTTTAGAGTACATAGGTACATTGCGACTGGCATTCCATAACTGGTTGATTCAGGAGTTAAATTGAATAGATTATTAGGGTTTTATTGAAGCAGTTTATGTCCAGACTGCACTAGAACAGTGACATCTAATTTAAATGAATCCAAAAAAAAAAAGAAACGTCTTTTATAGGAACCAGAATAAATGGAAACCTTTAGATAGAGTTGAATTGCATTGAAAAAACGAGCATTGTAGTTTTTTGAAAGCCTTTTCACCATTTTTCCAAAAAACTTAAGAGTAATACAATTTTATATAAAATAAAATGGGTATGAGTACATTGCAAGGATAAGGAAAGATATTTTCAAATTGCACATAAATTTTATTGGGTCTAGATACTAAGGTTTATTTAAAGAAAGAGAAGATTATGCCTTTTGGTCCCACTCCATTTACCAGGTAAAGGGCTACTGCTTAAAAATAAAAAATAGAACAATCATGTAATATGGATTTTAAAATGACTGAGGTATTGCTATATATTCTTATAATTTAAAATTATTTTGCATGATAGAATCCTGTCAGAGAAAATATATTGGTAGGTTGGCATCATTCTTTAGCTATACTCAGAAATATAAATAGTTGCTTACTGGTGAAACAGGTAACTTAAATTGAGAAATTATTTGTGTTGTTTAAGCTTTGCATAAAATCTCAATTCAAGTATTGTCTTTAATATTAAAATGCTTCTCCCTAAAGAATCCAACACATAAAATGAAGCCGAGGAGAAATATATTTTATTAATACTAATTTGTCCCTGACCTTCTGTTCGCAACTTTTAAACATATTGAATGGAAGTATTTCTGTGCCTATCATTTAGTTAGGAAATATCCAAACCAAAGTACCTGAGATCAAAACAGTAACATATTTTGAGCTTTATACTTATAGATAAGCTAACATATTTTCATGGTAATGTGATCTGTTCCCATATTCTTGTTCTTAAATTATTTTAATAATTGTATTGAAAATTATACTTAGAGAAATTAATAAATATGTTAAAGACTGTACATACAATGTTAAAGTGTTTATGAATGAGAAAACTTATGAGAAAATATGAAGAAATAAAAGAAAATTAATTATTATTCATTGTATGTATAACAATAAGTTAAAAATAGTTTCATTTTATTGATGGAATGCATGATTTATGGAATTATCAATAAAGAGAATATTGGAAAATTTTCTGCATCTGGATATATTCTGGACTATAATCTTCCTACCATAGCACATATATGATAGTCTCAGCTAACGTAGGTGAAACTTCAAGGGTAATTTCAGCCTATTGATTTCTCAAGGACAGCAACTTGAATTGCTAGAGAGCTCTGGATCTTATCCAAGAAAATATTTTATAAAAAACAATCTGAAATATGTGTCATATGGGCAGTGATCCTAAAGCTCCCAGTGAATTTTAACTTTCTAATAAATAGATACTTGAAAACAAAGACACACTGCACTTTGCACAGAGTAACTAGGAAATCATCAGGACAAAAGAACTGGAGTAGTCATTTTACTCCAATCCAGTAGAACATGTTAGCCTACAATCTATAAACCTATCAACTGGAAAACTTCACTATTATAGTATTTCAGTGTCTTTGTCAATGATTACGTATGCTGGATTGGTATAATATTTTTTTTAAATTGTCCTTTTTGTTTTTATTTATCTTGAAACCAAACCAGGTGGTTATCAGGGGCTACTTCTGGATCAGTACTTAGGTGTCACCCTATGTTGCTGAAAACCAGATGGTACTGGGAATTGAAGCTGGGTTTCCTGCATTTCTCAGACCCCTCAAGTCAACTCTTTTTATTTGGAATGCATATTTTCATGTTCATCATAAGTTGGTAAGTTGTGTCTGTATCGATGGTTTTCCCTGACCAATATCGCTGTTGTCCCAAAATTCCAAACGGGATCAGACCATCTCCTTCATGCAAAATTCTACTTCACAGAGCAGGGAGAAAGGGCTGCAAACTTTAAGAAGAGAACTCCCAGAACGACCACCAACTGGGAGCTCTGTGGCACTATTGTTGCAACATGGGAAGATGCCATCATTGACAACATTGACGAGGAATACGATCGACTGGTTCAGCACCTCCATGATTGTGTGAGGAATACCGAGAGAGAGATAGCCACAAAAAGATGCCTGTCTTCGAAACCTCTCGAGCTCATTCGCCAACGTGGCTTGGCGCAAGCCTCAGGCAACTGCAAGCGAAAGTGCGAACTCGCAAAATAGTGCAGAGAAGTGATGAAGGAAGATCTCAAAGAGAGAAGAGCAGCAGTGCTGGCAGATGTGGCAGAAGCTGGGAAAGGCATTCGCAACGCCCGCCTGTCCTTTGCCAACTACAGGACCAAGATGGACAGACTGCCCTCTGATATCATGAAGGATCTATCACATCTTCCAGAAGGTCAATGAAGAAGATTATCCATGACTTCTACTCAGATATCTTAAATAGCCACGTCCAACTGCCCACATACCAAATTCTGCAGGATGGATATGTCATTCCCAACGTTCGTTCTTCTAAAATTTGACACGCCATTTCATCGGTAAAGAAGCGAACAGTACCCGGCCCAAACAAGGTCAGACCCGAACACCTGAAGAACCTGCCATTAGTACTCATCAATACACTGGCTCGGCTCTTCACATACTACCTGTCTGAGTGCAAGATTCCATCCCAGTGGAAAACCGGCAGGACTGTACTACTGTACAAGAAGGGAGACATCCATGACATTGGCAACTATCGCCTGATCTGCCTTTTATCTGTCATCTACAAGCTGTTCACTCAAGTCATCCTGAATAGGATTGACAGAACACTAGATGAAGGACAACTATGCAAGCAAGTCAGTTTCCAAAAAGGATTCAGCACAATCGACCATATCCACACGATAACCAAGTTCATTGAGGTTTCTCAGGAGTTCAAGATGTCTCTCTGTCTAATGTTCATTGATTTAAAGAAGGCCTTTGATTCTGTTGAGACTGAAGTGGTCATCAAAACCATACCCAAACAGGGCATTCAAACTCAGTACATCAGGATCCTCTGTGAACTGTATTGCGAATTCACTACCAGGATCTCACTATTCTACAGGGAGCTGATCATTGACGTCAAGAGAGGGATTCGGCAAGGTGATACCATTTCACTGAAACTCTTCAGTGCCACCCTCGAGAACTTTATACGACAACTGGAATGGGAAGAAATTGGAGTGAAGATAGATGGTTGGCAACTACACCACCTCCACTTCGCTGATAACGTTCTAATAACAACAAACATCAGCCAAGTGGCACAAATGCTGGCTGACTTCGAGTGAGTGTGGAAAGGTAGGACTACAGCTGAATCTCATGAAGACGATGTTTATGAGAAACCGTCTCGTTCCTGACATTTTATTCGCTTTCAATGGGATGAACATCTCCAAATGCAACAGTTATGTGTACCTAGGTTGAGAAGTCAACGTGACAAATGACCTGACACCTGAGTTGCGCAGAAGGAAGAGAGCAGCTTGGAACGCCTTCAAGAGTGTCGAAGAAATAACTAAGAGGATGAAGAACCTCCGGCTCCGGGCACATCTCTTTGATTCCACTGTTCTTCCTGCATTAACATATGCCTCAGAGACCTGGGCCCTACGAAAACAGGATGAGAATGCTATTCGGGTCTCCCAAAGTGGAATAACACTTGGAGTATCACATTTCACTCAAATGAGAGAAAGAATCCGGAGTTCCGATCTCCGTGGATGATCAAGAATCAGGGACGCTGTCTCATTTGCCAAGGTGTCAAAAATCAGATGCGCTGACACGTAATGAGATTTGGAGATGACTGCTGGACTAGAGCCATAACCTACTGGACTCCACAGGACGTCAAAAGATCACGTGACCACCCACCTATGAGTTGGTCAGACTTCTTCATCAAGACCCTGAATGATCAGTTTGAGGTTGTTCATGTTCCTAGAACGAGCAGACACCATTGGGCTACACTAGCATGCACAGGAACGAATGGAGATGTTACTGGTGCCTGCTCAAGCAAATCGATGAGAAATGGGATGTCAAGTGATCAAGACCATATACTATTCGTAATGAAATTTTGTATCCCTTCTACTCTTATTTTCTAAGGCTAAAGTTAGGGTAAAATAGAAATAAACCAGAATAATCTTAGTTGCCCATCTTTAAAATAAAAATTATAATATTTTAATACCAAGGATTTAAATCTTGTGTAGATCTGAGATTATATTTGTGTTCCTTTTCATTTCAAAAGGAAAAGGAACAAAATTAGTGAGTTCGATAGTTGATACAAAGCAATTGAAATTAAAATGAAACTATTTTTCAGAAGCAAAAAGAGTTAACCAAGGGGAATAGGAAAATAAATACTAGCAAAGTACATTTTGTTTTAGGATCAAAGTCATTTAAAATATATGCATATCCTGGTTTCCTAGGTGAAGAGAGGAGGGGAATGTCTCCTTAAACTTCTAATCTGATAGTTATCTAAAACACTTAACCTTTCTTGGCAGGTTTAGATCCTGATAAGCATCTTGGAAAAACCCTGGATCAAATGGAGCCTTATCTCTTAGAGGTAAGAATTTATATCTTACTCAAAATACAGGCATTTACCAGATATTTTTAAAATTATGCTATTGATATACTTTTATTTTAGAATAACTCAAATTCTTGATCAATTTTCATAAAAATTTAACTTCTTATGGAGAGTAAAACACGTATAAAATTTTGAAAAGTATTACCAGCCTGTTTATTGAAATAAAAGAGCAAGTTATACTCAGAAACTGTATTGTCAGAAATTTTTTTATCAAAATTCGCATTCTATGCTACATAGAAATATTATATTCCAAAGTATCTAAAAGATTCTATGATTAAAAAAGAACTATTATACTCCAAAAGTCTCTGATAGCTCCCATGATCAGATGCTTTATTCCATCAGGAATGTTAGTGAATGAAATGTTAATGAAATGAGAGATGTTAATGAAATGTCTAAATCCTCTTTTAGAGATTATCTAATCTTTTCTCTTTTTGCCCATTAAAAATTAATTTGCAGAGTAGTAAGAAATTATCTTAAGAATTTAAGTTATAATTGTTTAACCTTTTCATCATCAAATATTAAGTATGTTCTAAACATTTAAGAAGGATTTTATTAATGGATTTTATTAGAGTTTAGGGGGAAATATTATGATTAGCATGGTAGTGTTTCAAGAACTTGAGTAATATAATGATTAGTTTTTAGCTCTCACAATCACAGTGAATACAGAAAATCACCCAACTTCTAGGATAAAATTAACTACTTTAATAATCGTTTTCCCCTGGCTAGTGAGATAGTACACGGATCAGTCTCTTGTCCTGCATGCAGCTGACCCAGTTTGGTCCCCAGAATTCATATGGTCCCCCAAGCACTGCCAGATGTGAACCAGTACATGCCTTTCCCCCCAAAAAAAAATTATTTTCCCTCATGTGCTTTTAATTCAACATTGTTTCTGAACATAATGTTATCTGAACTATTAGTAGTTATATTTTTCACTAATTTATGGGGTTCACATTTTCTTTGGCTGCTATTTGCATTTTATTATTTTATGATTTAGCAATCGGGCTGAAGCGATAGCACAGCAGATGAGCGTTTGCCTTGCATACGGCTGACCTGGGTTTGATTCCTCCGCCTCTCTCAGAGAGCCTGGCAAGCTACCGAGAGTATCCCGCCCACATGGCAAAGCCTGGCAAGCTCCCGGAGAAGTATGCGATATGCCAAAAACAGTAACAAGTCTTACAATGGAGATGTTACTGGTGCCCCTTGAGCAAATCGATGAACAATGGGAGGACAGTGCTACAGTGCTATGATTTAGCAATATCTGCCACTCAGAAACCCCTAAAATGTCTATTTCTTCTTTCACTAAGCATTGAGCATCTAATATATACCAGCATAAAATTTTTGTTGTAAGTAATTACAGTATAAAAGTTTATATTTGATTTCTACATAATTTGCTGTCAATATGTGAGATAATTGTTTTCCATTCCCTCTGTAGACTCTCCTCAACTATTTGGCTTTTGTTGTTTTTCTTAAATTAATAAATTATTTCTAAGCTTGGTTTCAGTTTTATAGAAAAATTGAGCAGTGAGTACAGGGTTCCTACATACTGCCCCAACTCCCACAATTTTTTTCTATTACAAATATTTTTCCACTGATATGATCAGTACCTAAGATATCATATAACAGGTAAGGCTTGTACACTGTTGACCTAGATAGTATCCCAGCATCATATATGGTCCCATAAGCACCACCAGGAGTGATTACTGAACACAGAGCAGGAGTAATCCCTTAGCACTGGCCCAAAAACAAACAATAATTAATGAACCAATATTAATATAGTATTATTGTCTAGAATTTTATATAAGAATTTATTCTTTGTGTTATATAGGTCAATAAAATTTTGTTTATTGAGGTAACATTACATCATAATATTATATAACTTTCAGTTATATGTCAATAAAAATTCAATGTAGTTCTTTTCCTTTCCTTTCTGATAGGAATCTTCTTATAGCAATTTGTTTTACAAATTATCATTATATCTCATATAATAATAATACTTATAAAGCCATCATTACACTATATCTGACATTTGTTCACTACTATCAGACTAAATTTCTCTTCTGTCAAAATAATGTAGATAAAAAATGAAGTTAAATTTATGGGAATGACAAAGCATAAACACATTAATTCAAAAAGCTATATGCACATTTATGTTCATTGCAATGCTTACTTATACAATAGATAGGGTATGGAGACAATCAAAACATCCATATATGGCATAGATACACAGCGGAATACTATACAGCTCTAAGAAAAGAAATGAAGTCTTGCAATTTACTTCAACTTGAATGGAACTGAATGGTATCATGTTAAACAAATTTAAGACACAGGACAAATACTGGGTGATCGCACTTATCTGTGGTATATAGAGAAACAAGACAAGGGAATAGATAACGTAAAATGATGACAAATCCTTTGCTTTGAATTACAAACTATATTACCAAGCCAGGTTGGGGAAGTGGGCTACAATGAAATGGTACACTAGAAATAACATAGTGACATTGGTGGAGGCTTTGGATACTTTGGTGGCTGTGAGACACAGTAGCTATCAATAAAGCCATAAATGTTGCCAATATTTATGTTGATAATATTGTAAACATATTATCTAAACAACAGTAATAAAACTTCAATTACAATAAAGTTATAAATGTCATCACCATTGTAAACATATTATCCATTGTAAACATTTTATCTAAAATATCATCAATTAAATCAAAATTGAAATTAAAATTAAACGAAACATAAAAATTCTTTGTAGAAAAATCAAAGATTGGGGATTGCTAAAATGTTTATGATGAATTACTTGTGTATTTTCATGAGGTATAGAACCTGGCAAGCTCCTCGTGGCATATTCGATATGCCAAAAAACAGTAACAACAAATCTCACAATGGAGATGTTACTGGTGCCTGCTGGAGCAAATCAATGAACAAGAAGAGGACAGTGCTGCAGTGCTACCTGCTCTAAAAAGATGCCAACATTATTTCTATCTAAATGAGTTCTTCAATACAATGATATTTTTCTAGAAAAATTCACTACTCATTCTCTGTATGACATTTTTGTTTCTTTTCTTCTCAAATTATTCTTCATATTTTTTCAACTGTCTCTTTGAGTGGATGATGTGTTTCTTTCTCACAAAGAGAACAATAGGTTTCATCATACTGAAAAGCCCTTTACCTCCAAGTACATCTCTAATTTATTTACAGCCCACATATCCTTTGCTACTTGTGACTGTGGAAGTATCACTTCTGTAGGTAATCCTCTTTGTCTGCCCTGGATGCCATTTGGCTTCTCAGTATCTCCATCCTCTCTCTCTTAATAACTCCTTCACATGCCTCTCCCATCCTAAAGATGTTTGCCTTTCATTCTAATTTTTTTACTTCTTTCCTTCTTCAAATAAATTTTGTTCAGAAGTTTTATCAGTATACATAGTCATGTTTCAGATATTTCCTGCACTTAGATTCTGGTTTCTTCATATACCAGTCACCTTTAATTTCCATTTCTTCAAACATGGTAGAAATTATTTTTTCTATTTTACAGGTAGAAACACTTCTGGAAATGCTTCTGTCAATCGAGATATTGCTTATTACTGCCTCAAATTAATTGTGCTATATGTATTCTATGGGCTGGAGCGATAGCACAGCAGTAGGGCGTTTGCCTTGCACGCAGTCAACATGGCTGACCCGAGTTCGATTCCTCCGCCCCTCTCAGAGAGCCCGGCAAGCTACCGAGAGTATCTCGCCCGCACGGCAGAGCCTGGCAAGCTATCCGAGACGTACTTGATATGCCAAACACAGTAACAACAAGTCTCATGATAGAGACGTTACTGGGCCTGCTCGAGCAAATCGATGAACAACGGGAGCGTGATGTATTCTATGTCATTGAAATTGTATAATTGACTTACTCCAAAATGTTTTGTGTCCCCATTGGCTGAGATTCTTCTTTCTCTCAACTGTTGTGTCCAACCCATTAATGTGATTTGCTTGCACTATCTCGGTAATATATTCACCAGACTGTGATCATCTCTTGTCTAGAATACACATCACCCCTTAACTGATCTGCTTACTGCCATTGCCTTGCCACAATACATTATTCACACAAATGCTAGGGTGACTTGGGGTTTTTTTTGGGGGGGGGGGGGGTGGAGTTGAGGGGAAGCACACACAGCAGTGCACAGGAAATCATATGTGTGACAGGAATCAAACTGAGGTTCAGCACATCCTAGGCACATGTTTTACCCCCATACTATCCCTCTGACCCAATACAGTGATTTTTTTTAATATTATCAGTGCATTTTCTTTTCTTTTTTTTTTAATGTAGGAGTACTGCCTTTTATTCAGCCATTGATTAAGCTGATTGAGTTGGACATGGACTCCACATTACTTTTTTTTAATATTGAATCACCGTGAGATAGTTACAAAACTTTCATGTTCAAGATTCCGATGATCGAACATGCATCCCTCCTCCAGTGCACACCCTCCACCACCAGTGTCCCCAGTATATCCTTCCTACCCCCCATCCCAGTCCACCCTGCCTCAATGGCAGGCAATCTCCCCAATACTCTCTCTCTACTTTTGGGAATTATGTTTTGCTCGAATTTTCCCACCACCATTCAAGCCTGCCTGCAGGGGCAGATGCTGGATCATTTATTGTCCATTGCTCATTTTGAACATCTTGGTGCTGTGCCACATGCTTCTGGAATCCTAGATTGTAAATGGTTGGATTCCAAAGACATTTCTGTAGGACACTTATCCATTTTAGGATTCAATTGGGCATCTCTGGACTAGGGCTGTTGTTGCGCTAAGATGGTGCCCAGAGGCATATTGTGGGTGTGACATCTAGGCCAACGAGTAGGCAGGAGCCAGGAAGGGACAGCCTGGCACCTCTGCCAACATGCATCATGGAGATTTAGTCCTGGAACCCGCATACCTGGGCCTTGTGGAACCTCTTGGTCACCAGGATTCCATCTGGAGTAGGCAGGGAG